AAGAAAATTAACTCTATCCCAGCTGAAACCAGGACAGCAACCCGTTCAAATTCCCTCACAAGGAGGGAACTTTTGTGACATTACTAAGGCCTTTGTGCTATTATGCCCATACTGTTCCACATACAAAAATGAAAATCTCTCTTCCCTTCCAAACTCAAATTAAATTCTTGACTATGTAGGGAGGTCTCATTTAACTGCAATCAATTTAATGCTTTGCTCTTGGTTACCCAAAATTAGTGTTTAAAGACTTAGCTGAGAATCTAAAATTGCCTTGCCTTCTGAAAATTCCAGTTATGAGAAATGTATTATCATTTTGGGATTCTACTACTGGATTTAAAATTCTACTTCAATTTTTGAAATTCATAAACCTTTATTTTCTTATAAATTATTTTCATGTATACTTACAAGGCACCAAAACACCGTTAAACTGAAACTGTGATAAACATTAAAAAGTCATATTTTCATGCAGTTGTGCCATTTACAAGTTATTTCCAATGAGCACTATCAGTCACCAAATGTTTGTGCTGTGGACTTAAGTTCAGGTAGTCACAATATGTTACAGTTGAGTGTCAAAAGGGAAAAATGTCCTAAAAAGTGCAGTGTATGTGTCTCAGATCAGCAGACTGATTCAGAATAAAAATATGTCCAGTTGGCTAGATGGTTGGGAAGTTTTTTGACCTGAACTTCTTTACATATGTAAAGTTTAAGTGCCATCTTCCACAGTGTGAATATGTGGGAACCTGTCTCTAAGGTCATTTGCAGTGGAAAATTGGAAATGTGGCATTGAAATACTGCATGCACTGAAGCTGATGTCTTTTTCGGGCATTGGGTGATCAATCCTGTCTGTGCAAGGACAGGACCCCAGATCTTGCTGTGCAGGGGACTCAGAGAGGCCAGAATTTCTCTTTCACACAGAGGCAGAGCAGAGTACAGCTAAGCAGCATCTCCACGTGAAAGAGTCGTTCTTGGGTGTAGTGGCTGCATGGTGCTGTTCATATTGGGTGGCACATTGGATCTCACTGCTCCACTGGGACAACTACCTTGTGGAGTCAGTCTTCCTGCTTCCACAAGGGAGAAGGAGCAGCTGAAGAAGGCAGTGGTGGCTGCTGTGGGAAGTCATTTCTCCCTGATGCCATGCTCCTGTATATAGCAGCAGCCAGCCTGGTTTTCCTGTGTTCTGGCCAACTAAAACATTTTGTGGAACCACGGCTTCTTTGCTGCCACTCACTTGCTCCCAGTGCCCACCTCAGGATGGTGTTTTAGGCAGGTGGACATTACCTCTGGCTGGGCAATACAGCTGGTCATATCTTGGGGTAGAGTTGTTCATGCCCTAGGGAGTAGGGATGGACTAGGAAGCACAGGGAGACACTTTCTAACAACCCTTCAAGACCTAACTTTTCCAAAATATTTGTCCAAAACCCTTAAGAATAGAAGTCCAAACAGAAATATCAGCAACTCTTGAAGGTATTTGCAATTATATTAAAGACCCAGAGATAGCTCCAGTTTTGCCATGTGCTTGTGCCTCAGATTCTGAGCAGTCATGTGCTTCCTGCTTAAAACCCATTAGGGATTAAGTGAAGGTGTATCTTAATAATTATCTTATCAGCCAATCAAGAATGCCTGAGCCATAAAAGCCTAGAATACATGGCAGGTAACAGTGACAAAATCTGTACTAAGCATTCACTGAATACAGAAAAAACTGTGGGAACAGTGACTGAAGACTGGAACTGCTTTTCTTTTGTAGCTTAATTCCCTAACAGCTAGACTGCAGGCAGAGATCTTTCTTATCCAGTGCATTTTGCACACTTGTCTGTACAAAGATTCATCGGCTTTCAGCAGAATTTGTAAGAGGTAGTAACTGAAACTAGACACTGGTAGCTAGATAAGGTTCAATTGCCTATCATATAATAGGTGCTCCACCACCCAGCCTGTGCTAAAAGGCAAGAAAAAGACTGGATAAGATCTTTGGAAGAATGATTAAATGTTTTCTGGAAGAAAGATTCCAGGTCTGATGCCTGATACTTCCTGGAGTGCTAACTCACATACACATAGGCAGCTTATACAGAACTGCAGAAATTATCTGTGCTATATGTTAGTAAGACCCTTTTCTGAACTGGAACCAAGAACTGGCTGATGGGAAAAAATCTTTTTCTTTTATTCTCAAAAGGTGGATCCAGTTAATGTTTATCAAAAAATATTTGTGCTGAGGGCATAGCATGCCATGGCATGACAGGGCAGGAATAACGTAAATTGCTGTTGCCACCAGACTGATCATAAAGCAAGCCTCTGATGGGAGAGATTTAACACTCTTGAAGACAGTATTGTCATGAAATAACATTTTGCCCATCAGAGTTCTCTACAGGTGTAGCCCAAATAAACTGCAGCCATGTCTTTGGATGCTGAGATGGCCATCTTTGGGGAGGCAGCTCCTTACCACCGAAAGTCGGAAAAGAATTGAGGCCCAGAACAAGCCTTTTGATGCCAAGACAACTGTCTTTGTGGTACATGCTAAGGAATCCTTTGTGAAAAGGACAATCCAGAGCAAAGAATCAGGCAAGGTCACCGTCAAGACTGAAGCTGGAGATGTGATGGAAAAAACAGACTGGAGGACACCATTTGATTCCCAGTCACAGCTCTTAGTTGACATACATGCATCTCTCTTTTCTTTGTCAGACTCTGACTCTGAAGGAAGATCAAATCTTCTCCATGAATCCTCCTAAGTATGATAAAATTAAGGACATGGCCATGATGACCCACCTTCACGAACCCGCTGTGCTGTACAACCTCAAAGAGCATTATGCAGCCTGGATGATCTACGTAAGTACTGGCAGCAGTCTTCCTTTGGATAGCTAGGAGGAACTGCTCTGCCAGGTTAAGTGGAAGCCCATGTGCTGTCTCCCTTCCTTGCAGACCTACTCGGGTCTCTTCTGTGTCACTGTCAACCCCTACAAGTGGCTGCCGGTGTACAACCCGGAGGTGGTGTTGGCCTACCGAGGCAAGAAGCGCCAGGAGGCTCCTCCACCCATCTCCATCTCTGACAATGCATGTCAGTCCATGCTAACTGGTGAGTGGCTGTAACTCCTTTAAGGCAATTATGCCATGAATACCTTTCAGGGCAATAACAAGTTGTGTCTAAACTCTCAGTTTGTATTGTTTCTTTCTAGGGTCTTTTCCCAGATCACTCATATTGTGTTACTCCAAAGATTGTAGATGTCCCTTTAAACCGAACCTGAGAGAAGCTACGTTTAGCTCTAAGGTCTATTACAATAGGTAGCGTAGAGTGAATTACTCCAGATGTTTTTTCCCTTCTTGTTTAAATCCCTCAATGGTATCAGAACAGGTTTAGCACCTTAGCATACCATTTCAGGGTTTCAACAGTGCACATCTGAGCTTTATGCTGCAAAAATGTTATTTCAGTGGTGATAAAGCCATTTTCTCTTTCTTTTGGGCACAGTATAAAAACATATTAGTTCTTAAAGAACAACAAGAAAATAATTAGAATGTTTCAAGCCAAAAAAGTGGCCTCCTCTTCAGCACTGTGCTGTAGCTACCCCAGTCTACCAAACCTTTGAGGAGTTCCTTAGTGTAGAAGTCTCTGTGGCTGCCTATGGGACATGGTGGGGTGGATTGCATAAGTGCAGCTCTGAGCAGTTCCAGTTGAAATAATGGAAACTGAAAATAACAAAAATTTTGACTTGCACGTACCTGCCTAGTCATGTGGTAAAATTGGAGTACACAAGGCTGTGTGATGTGCACAACATGCTGGAAAAAAGAAGCTGTGTGTGTATAAGGAATAGTGTTGTGGACTTGAGTGACTAAAGAATTAAGATCAGGTATGGCAACATGGTATAGGTGTTGAGTGTTGAGTCAGGGATTATTCCAAATGCTAGTCAATTGCAAGCAGACAACTGTGTATTCTAGAGGGAACTGGCCATCAATCATACAGATCTGTGTCTCTCTGGGCTAATGGCTTGAATCACTCCCTGGATTACATTACAAAGTTAGTTTAGATATACCTATGGAATCTTCTTCTGGTAAGATGTCTGCTTTAATCTTCTGCAGCCATGAATACACATGCCTGAAAGAATAATACCTAAAGTACAGAAAGACAATATGGTTTCAATGGGCTGATGGGTCCTTTGATGAGCCTGGAAACAGCTGGGGCAGGGTATTATTTGGACTCCCCCACTTGTCATTGACTGTCTCTTCTGGGGGAGTGCAGATGAGTTTTATCATGTAACCTAACATTAACCTGCAATTTCAATTTCATTTGAATGTTTTCTCTTTTATTTTCCTTTTTTTTTTTTTTTAAACTCTGTAACTTTTAAAACATACTCAACTCTGAGACTTAGAAGAAACCTAGCAAAAAATCAAAAGAGAAAATTAAGGCACCTGCTACGTCAAATAACCCTAGTCAGTGTTAGGAAAAGGACACTTGCACTGCTATTGACTCTTTCCACTAGATATAGATGTTAAGTAAATCACAGACCAGGCTGCTCAGCTGTGTCTGGCACATGCTTGTTACAGGAAAGATGCTGTAGAATAGTGCTACAGTGTGGTTGTGCAGCTCCCTGGGGCCACTCTGAGATCCCAGGATAAGCCCTATCATGCTGTTATCTTGGTCAAAAATGCAGTGACTTGGGTGTCAAGCAGTCTCTGTCCATACCTGGGCTATCTGCTGCTTGCATGGTACATCAGGACCACCCTGAGACCTCAAGATAAACCCTATTGTACTGTTATCTTGGTCATAACAACTTGGGCTCAAGCACTCCCTGTCCACACATGGGCCATCTGCTCCCTCAGCTGTGTACTAGAGTGACTCAGCACAAATTGTGGCCAGAATGTAAAATACTGACCACAAAGCCAATCATCTTGAGATCCTATAAATATTGATCCAAGAAGGAGACCTTCTTGAGCTCTCTGTGACCCAGTATCTTCCCCTGAGCTGGGATGCCTCTCAGGGTAGATTTCACAAGGATTGAAGGATTGTCCATCAATTTCATGAGGACTCAAAGGCCTGATTTCGCGATGATGATGGTCTGTTGATGAATGCCAGCACATAAAAGTGAGTAACTCATAAAACTCATGAAAAGGGAAATTTTAATCACAGGTTAATCTCAGGATATGTGTGTGTGTGCAATTTGATTATATAGACATATATATTATCCTTGTTCACATAAAGCATTGACCAAGACTGAGACTAAGGTTGGACCTAGCCACACCTAGACTCCTCTCTGAAAGGAGTTTAGAAAGCAAGGGAGTCTATTCTGAACCTTGTGACTCAACGGGAGGGTCCTCCTTAACCCCTGCATCCACGATCTCTCTGAATCATTCTAACTTGAACGTAATTTAATTTTCCTTTGTGCACTTCTTCCATGTAAGTAATAGAGTGAACCTTGCCATTCTTGAATCTTTAACTAAGTCGCTATCTCAATTGTAACAAATTCCATCAAATCACTGTTTTAAATTGGCTGATGCTTAAGTGTTGTTAAGAATTATACAACCTAATACTGTGATCTCTCTCAAAAATATTAATAAATCTTAAATTGCTGATAAACCAAAGCCATGTAAAAAAAAAAAAATCATATTCATGACAAATTTGGTGGAGTTGGCAGGATCCACAAATCTGTATTCATGACATACAGATGAATTATAAACTGATCTAAGCGTAGGTCTAGTCTGAGCTGGAAAGTGATGGAGTAAATCTCACTTTTATAGATGTAAGAACACAGTTCAAAAATAGCTGCATCTGTGTTTTGCAGCTCAACAGCCTGGAGCAGCTATGCATCAACTTCACCAATGAGAAACTGCAGCAGTTCTTCAACCACCATATGTTTGTGCTGGAGCAGGAGGAGTACAAGAAGGAAGTAACTGAATGGGAGTTCATTGACTTTGGGATGGACTTGGCTGCCTGCATTGAGCTGATTGAGAAGGTATCCTTCCTGTTCAGGTGCATTATGCAACTGGGATTTCTACAGTTACTTGGCAGCAGTTTTCAGAGGACTCCTCCACATTCACATCCAAACATTCAGTTTTGGTTATTCAAAATACCTGAACACGTAGCTTATTTTATCTGTGAGGTTTCAACAGTTTCATGGCAGCAGCTCTGTACTGATCTCTTTTCAAGAGCCAAAACACTGCAAAGCTCCCAATAACAGTATTCTTTCATAACAGCTAGAGTTAGTTTCTACTATAGAGCCTGTAAGTTTCTCTTAAGCTCTGATCGATTCATTTCTGCCTGGCAGTACAGCTACAACTGGAGATATATATATATTTTTTAATATTTGCAATATAAAAGATGGGACTTCACAACTTCCAGTTCCTAGTCATCCACTCATGTGCATCAATTAGAGCAATAAGAGTGCTGTCAAGTTACGGGACATCGCATTCAGTGACAGGAGGATCTTGAGCAAAGAGCACTTTTACTAAGACATATCCATACACTGTGAGCCATTTAGACCAAGAATTTTTCTGAATATGACATTTTAAATTTTATTTTTCAAATTTTCTGGCACAAATAATGTAAATTTCCATCGGTCACTGAGCCTTTGAAAGTAAACTGGATAAGTATCCATGTTTAACCCTGCTGTTTGGATTTTAAAAAAGACAGCAGTATTGTCTTACTGATACCACAGCCTTTATTTGTGATTTCATACTCTATTGAGATAAGCTCAGCCACCTTTGTGTCAGAAGGCCAATATGACATCTGTGTTTCTTCTGCCTTCTTCCAGCCCATGGACATCTTCTCCATCCTGGAAGAGGAGTGCATGTTCCCCAAGGCAGATGACACTTGTCTCAAGAACAAGCTCTATGACCAGCATCTGGGCAAGTCCAACAACTTCCAGAAGCCCAAGCCTGGCAAAGGCAAGGCTGAGGCCCACTTTTCACTGATGCACTATGGTGGACTACAACACCTCTGGCTGGCTTGAGAAGAATAAGGATCCCTTGAATGAAACTGTTGTGGGGCTGTACCAGAAATCATCACTGAAGACACTGGCCTTACTGTTTGCTTCTTATGGTGGAGAAGCAGGTCAGTTCTGTTGTCCTGGTTTCAGCTGGGACAGAGTTAATTTTCTTCCTAGCAGCTGGCAGTGTTGTGTTTTGGATTTAGCATGAGACTAATGCTGATAACACACTGATGTTTCAGTTGTTGCTAAGCAGTGCTTACACTACTCAAGAACTTTTCAGCTTCTCATGCTGTGCCAGCGAGAAGCTGGGAGGGGGCACAGCCAGGATCGTTGACTCAATCTGGCCAAAGGGATATTCCATACCATATGATGTCATGCTCAGTATATAAACTTGGGGGAGCTGGCAGCGATCACTGCTCCAGGACTGGCTGGGCATCAGTTGGCAGGTGATGAGCAATTGCATGTGCATCACTTGCTTTGTATATTATTATTATTACTATTAT